GAACAAACGAGTGGGACGCTTGGGCTGTTTTTATTCTCATGTTTTGTGGGAATGCGCGGCCTCTGATGGATACTGCAGATGCAGCCGAGTTGCTCTTGAGTTCTGGCCCTCGTCATCATCTTCTGTTCTTATTTTGTAGCACCTCCAATGTTATCCGCATCAGGAAATTGCGTTTTAATTTGAGAGCGCAATTAAAGGACTTGGCAAAGTGCCAAGGAGCCGCACGCGACACGCGCGCTTACGACGGATGTTATGAAGGACGGGAATCTGCGCCGCAAAAAGGTGTAAGGCGGAGCATGGAGGAATTAGCGTGTTTCACGGTCCTGTATCTCCATTCCTGGGCATGTTTGGGCGGGGGGACCACGACACATCGACAGCTGGGGGCTGATAGTCTCATACACCCTCAATGTGTTTGAGCGTACCATGTGTCTTTAAGTTGCCTTGTCCACAAAGCACAGGTATCCATAGTACGAAGTCAGCTACTTTTAACTTCCGTACTTGATTAGGAATTACGACTTCCTCCGAAAGTTCGCCCCTTTCCAGTGCCGTGATCACTTTCCCGTATATGAAGTCCGTTCTGAGTTCTCGCGTCCATTCCGGCTCTTCTGCCGTAGAGGCGACAATCAGCTCGTTTGGGATAGGTGGCACTACCTTCGAGGTTTGCAGCATCTACTGCTCCTCTGCTCAAGGCATCGGCAACACGATTTGCAGCTCCCTTAACATACACGAACTTTATGTTGTAGGCCTGTAATTCGAGCGCCCAGCGGAGCACTCTCGCAGACACATTTGAACCTGTGAATAAGGCTGTCAGTGGTTGGTGATCCGTAAACATTTGGATGGATACGAACATGCGGAACCTTCGCAATGCTGTAACTACAGCAAGCGCTTCTAAATCTGTAATGTGATAATTACGCTCGCTCTTGTTTAGTCCCTTTGACGCGAAGAATATTGGGTGTAGAAAGTTGTCGTCTCCCTTCTGACTTAAAACTGCCCCTACACCTGAGTAGCTAGCGTCCGTATGGATGCAAAACGGTTTTGCTCCTGAACGCGCACCTTCGATGTCTGGTTGCGCCAAAACGGGTGTGGATGTCAGAGCGTCCTTGAGCGTTTTAAAAGCGTCGATGCGTAGCTGGGTCCACTCGAACTTCTTTCCTTCTGAAGTCATCTCATGGAGTGGTGCCGCGATTTTGGAAAACCGCAGTATAAACTTTCGGTAGTACGAGCACATACCTAAGAACGTTCTCAGTTCTGAGCGTGTCTGCGGTGTCGGGTATTCCTGTATGGCAGAAATTTTCTTGGGATCTGCGTGCAACCCATGTTTGTCGAGAACATGACCCAAGAACTCAACCTTAGGCTCCATGAGTATGCACTTTTTTGGATTGAGCTTTAGATTTGCTGCTCGTAGTCTGTCGAACACTTTCCCAAGTACTTCGACATGACGCTCCTCTGTAGTGGTAGCTACAATAATATCATCCAGATAGCACGAAACTTCATCTCCTTGTAGCGGATGGAGCACTAAGTGCATTAGCCTCTGAAAAGCTGCTGGCGATGATGCCAGTCCGAAAGGTAAGACTTTAAATTGGTATAAGCCCTCAGTTGTAGCAAACGCACTCTTTTCCTTGGCACTGTCTGCCAACTTCATTTGCCAGTAGCCAGAAGAAAGGTCCAGTGTTGAAAACCAACTCTTTCCTTTCAGGTTTTGTAGGATCGTGTCGACCGTTGGAAGGGGATGGCTGTCTATCTGCGTGACTTGGTTCACCTTTCTATAGTCGACACACAAACGTAGCGAACCATCCTTCTTTCGTACCAGTACTATAGGTGACGACCATGGAGAGCTACTAGGTTCGATGATGTCCCGCTTTTGCAGGTCTATCAGGATCTCACGAAGTTCCGCACGCGCTGCCAGCGGAATAGGCCTAGCCTTCTGCTTTATCGGCTTTGCCGAGCCTGTTTGGATGTCATGTTCTACTACGTGCGTTTGAGTAAGCTCTTGGTCTGTCACTGCGAAAACATCTTGAAAATCTTGTACTTTCTTTTCCAGCAAATCACTCCAGTCACTTTCTGATTTGTTCTGTTGCAGTAACTTCACCAAGATGTTCCAGCGGTCAGTAATTGGAGCGCTGGTGCGTTCGAGCATGTTCGCGCACTCTATTGGTGATTTTTCGACGATCCGCGTCTGATCCCAGAAACCAACTTTTTCTCCTGCTTGGAAAATTCTGGCTTTTTCCGATGTGTTGGTCACGGGTATGCTCACGGTTTGCCCTGCTCTGCAAACAACATGGGGTATCAGTTCACACTCTGACCAGAAATTTGTTCGGAGTCAGAAGAGCATCTGTTTATCGAAACCGCTTTTGTTTCACCAGGTTTCAAATACACTCTCGAGACTATAGCAGCCCTTTGCAACATGGATTCCTCTTCTGACATGGAGTTCTTCGGCCTTGGCTTGGGTCTATGAGAACTGTCCGTTTGCTTAACGTTCTTTTTATCCCCTTTTTGGGTTTGGGAGATACAGTTTGAACGAACTTATTCTGCATCGTGGGGTGGGTAGACGACGTCTGAACGGCTACAGAGACTTTCTTTCCTTCTGAGAAAGGTTTTAAAGACGCTTGTAGCCCAAACAAGCGCAGAATGTTCGTCCCTAATACAATAGTATCGTCATTGCCTGCTTTTACACAGAACACTACTCGTCGTGCGGGTTCTTCTTGTAACGCTAGAGTGAGTTTGACAGCACCTTTAAATGCCATTTTGCGACCAGAAGCGTCGTAGATCCTTGTGCAGTTATCCAATTTAACCTCTTCGACGTCTGCGTCTAAATCAAACCCCGACTTTGCTGCGTCTATGAGTAGCTCTAACGGCAGAATGCTCACTTGTGATCCTGTGTCCACTAGCGCTTTCTTGTTGAACCCGAGTAGTCGCACACTGCACACAGTCTTGTTGCCGAACATCTCGTTTTCTCGTTGAGCCGTCCCTGCGGCACGACAAGACCAATTTTCAAGAACTGTACTGAAAGCATGGCTCGTCTGCTCTCGTTGAGAATTACTTGAGGACTGCGCTTTTTGCGTTTTCTGTTGCGCCGTCCGCTCGTTTCTCTTATCACAGTCTTTTTGGAAAATGTCCGGGCTGTTTGCAAATTCGGCAAAGTTTGCCGTCTGTTTGGAGTGACACACTGCGCTGTGCTGCTTGAGAATTTTGGTCATGGCCGCTGCTGCCTTGCCTTGCATTGTCCTTCGTTCTCTGGAACGGAAAGGGTCGCCGTGGCTTTCGACGCTCATCCGCCACCTTCAGTTCCGAGACTGATCTCATCGCTTCCGCGACCGTCTTGCTTCTTTCAATCCCTTGCGCAAGGTCTTTGAGCTTCTCATAAACCTCATGGGGAGCTGCAGATTCCATGACGGCGAAAAGTTGAAAATACTCAGGCCATTTAGTGAGCTGAGAAATCAGTTCACTCGCTCTCTGCATAGATAAGTCAGTTTCAGAGGCACTGGGATTTGCTGTCCGTGTTAAATTTTCCAGTTGAACACAGTACTTCAGTGACTGACTTCGTCATCCTGAGCTGTTTCAGCTTAACGTGCGATTCCATACGTTTAGCAGAAGTGTTCTCAGCAAACTTTGCAGTGAGCGCAGCCACAACATCAGCAAATCGCCCTTGTCTGACCTCTTCTGGGAGCGTTTTCATGACCGCTTTTGGATGCCCTTCCAGCTTTTCGCTCATCAGATGAATCAATAAGTCATCCGGGAGGCCGATCCTACCATATTTCATCGAAAAGGACTTAACAAATTCCGTAAATCCTTTACCGTCTGGGTTATCAAAGATCTTAACCTCCGGAAGTGCCATCGCCGCTAAGATTGTCCCAACCCCGGTATCAATGTGCGAACTCGCATCGTCAAAGGTTGGAGACAAACCTCTTAGGGAGTTGTCCTTGGCTGGCGTGAGGTGAACCGTGGCTTGCTGTGGCTCGTTCCCGACAGCGTTGCTCTGAAATACGTTCTGGTGACTGTATTGTCTAGCTTTCGACAAGTCACATTGCATAGACAAGCGCCTACCTTCCGCCGCGCTTACCGCGTCGAACTCGATCGGCGGCAGGCTTGCTGCTGGCTGCACATCGTTGGCGTTTAGCAGCGTAAAAGTTCTGCGGAAGTCGGCTTGCTGGGTCTCGCCGCACTCCATCGCATGTTCCGTGTCAGCATGAGTCGATGGAACCTGCAAAGCATGTCTTTGTCCACTTGCCTGGGCTTCAAAACCTAACGGTTTCTAAGTGGCAGTACCCTTCTGCCAGTGTCTGACACCGCATCTCTAACCTCGTCGCGATTTTGCTGTTGGGTTAGCAGTACGACCTGAGCTTGCAGCTGTGCCAGCTGTTGCTGGACCTCATTCAGCTTACTGTCTCGTGCGTCATCCTCTTCGAGGATACGGTCAAGCTCTCTTTCCATTTCGTCTGCCATGGTTGCTTCCTGAAACGGGTCTGTTTCAGTCAGAGCAAAAAAAATTGACGCAAAAAAATTTGCGCAGAGTTTCCCCTTAGGAAACTGCTTTCTCTCTGTCCGTCGGGTACTCCGGCTACACAATTCCTGTGCGCCAAGTACCGTCGGGGGCTGCCAGTCAAGCAGCTTATTCGAGCCCGCCGCTCTTCACGGCCCTGTGGCTCGACTGTGCTTCTAAGGAACTCAGGGATCCCCTGGTTCCTACTGCACTCAACTTACCTGAATTAGCCGAAGTGGTTCGGCCCCCATGTAATGGAGCTTTCGCAGCTCCTTCCTTTTCCCGGTGCGAGTACAGACGATACTCACCCGTTTATTCGGCTCGTTAGCAGTAAGTGGGGCAGTGCCCAGTCGAAATCCACAAGAATACTATTTCAACATAAGAACCGGCCTTATATAGGGTGAGTCTAGACAACTAGAGTATGACGAAATAGTACATAGTAGACGAAGTGACGGAATCAAATCGCGCGGGATTCACATCCCTGGCTTGCAATCAATAAGGCCCGATAACAACTGCCTTCATGATAAACAACGGCGAAAAGAGCGTACAAAGTTACAAGGTAAGTTTGGTTACAATATTTTAAGGATCTAATTACAAAACTTCATAGGCTAGGATAGAGGTAGCATAGAATATAGGGAATACATAGTAGCAATGTTCAAGGGGATTTCCCTTACACAGCTGATATAACCTCTATCACCCAAATGGTGCTACCACACCCTATATTATATCTTCGAACTAAGTTTGTAATTAGATCCTTAAAATATTGTAACCAAACTTACCTTGTAACTTTGTACGCTCTTTTCGCCGTTGTTTATCATGAAGGCAGTTGTTATCGGGCCTTATTGATTGCAAGCCAGGGATGTGAATCCCGCGCGATTTGATTCCGTCACTTCGTCTACTATGTACTATTTCGTCATACTCTAGTTGTCTAGACTCACCCTATATAAGGCCGGTTCTTATGTTGAAATAGTATTCTTGTGGATTTCGACTGGGCACTGCCCCACTTACTGCTAACGAGCCGAATAAACGGGTGAGTATCGTCTGTATGAGGAAAAGGAAGGAGCTCCTAGCTGCGAAAGCTCTATTACAGACGTGCTCCTTTGCACTTTTTGAGCAGTGCTCTCTGGAGGTTTCTTACACAGCCTAGCATGATCAGGGAACCTTGTCATGCCATGAATAGGGCTTTTTGGAAAACTGAACCATTCTCGCCTGTGAACACTTCTAATGATTTATTTTGCTCATATAGTGGGTACAAGCAAGTTCTGATTGACCAGAGTTCTGATGAAGACGCAATTCAACAGGAATAAACCCGTACTTACTGGTCAGTTATGGATATCTCGGGAAAAGCTTGATAATGCAATCGTGTGAGGCAGCATTCAGACTTCGCGATGGCGATTGGATTGCGCGTTCGACGCGATCGATGCAGTAGAAAGCATGCGCATCGATTGCGCCAGATCGCGGCGGCCGAAGCGCTGCGTCGCGGAAGTCTTAACCGGCTGCCTAAGAGCTTAATTGTCACACTCGTAAGCGCTAAAGCATGTACTGCCTGGAGGTCGTGGTATCGCAGTTGTTGAAGATATTTGGTCCTTGCGATAACTGAGAGCGTCACGCAGGGAAAGGGGTGCAAGAAAGTCATCGAAAGCTTCATTTCGACTGGGCACTGCCCCACTTACTGCTAACGAGCCGAATAAACGGGTGAGTATCGTCTGTACTCGCACCGGGAAAAGGAAGGAGCTGCGAAAGCTCCATTACATGGGGGCCGAACCACTTCGGCTAATTCAGGTAAGTTGAGTGCAGTAGGAACCAGGGGATCCCTGAGTTCCTTAGAAGCACAGTCGAGCCACAGGGCCGTAAAGAGCGGCGGGCTCGAATAAGCTGCTTGACTGGCAGCCCCCGACGGTACTTGGCGCACAGGAATTGCGTAGCCGGAGTACCCGACGGACAGAGAGAAAGCAGTTTCCTAAGGGGAAACTCTGCGCAAATTTTTTTGCGTAAATTTTTTTTGCTCTGACTGAAACAGACCCGTTTCAGGAAGCAACCATGACAGACGAAATGGAAAGAGAGCTTGACCGTATCCTCGAAGAGGATGACGCACGAGACAGTAAGCTGAATGAGGTCCAGCAACAGCTGGCACAGCTGCAAGCTCAGGTCGTACTGCTAACCCAACAGCAAAATCGCGACGAGGTTAGAGATGCGGTGTCAGACACTGGCAGAAGGGTACTGCCACTTAGAAAACCGCTTAGGTTTTGAAGCCCAGGCAAGTGGACAAAGACATGCTTTGCAGGTTCCATCGACTCATGCTGACACGGAACATGCGATGGAGTGCGGCGAGACCCAGCAAGCCGACTTCCGCAGAACTTTTACGCTGCTAAACGCCAACGATGTGCAGCCAGCAACAAGCCTGCAGCCGATCGAGTTCGACGCGGTAAGCGCGGCGGAAGGTAGGCGCTTGTCTATGCAATGTGACTTGTCGAAAGCTAGACAATACAGTCACCAGAACGTATTTCAGAGCAACGCTGTCGGGAACGAGCCACAGCAAGCCACGGATTCACCTCACGCCAGCCAAGGACAACTCCCTAAGAGGTTTGTCTCCAACCTCTTTGACGATGCGAGTTCGCACATTGATACCGGGGTTGGGACAATCTTAGCGGCGATGGCACTTCCGGAGGTTAAGATCTTTGATAACCCAGACGGTAAAGGATTTACGGAATTTGTTAAGTCCTTTTCGATGAAATATGGTAGGATCGGCCTCCCGGATGACTTATTGATTCATCTGATGAGCGAAAAGCTGGAAGGGCATCCAAAAGCAGGTCATGAAAACGCTCCCAGAAGAGGTCAGACAAGGGCGATTTGCTGATGTTGTGGCTGCGCTCACTGCAAAGTTTGCTGAGAACACTTCTGCTAAACGTATGGAATCGCACGTTAAGCTGAAACAGCTCAGGATGACGAAGTCAGTCACTGAGTACTGTGTTCAACTGGAAAATTTAACACGGACAGCAAATCCCAGTGCCTCTGAAACTGACTTATCTATGCAGAGAGCGAGTGAACTGATTTCTCAGCTCACTAAATGGCCTGAGTATTTTCAACTTTTCGCCGTCATGGAATCTGCAGCTCCCCTGAGGTTTATGAGAAGCTCAAAGACCTTGCGCAAGGGATTGAAAGAAGCAAGACGGTCGCAGAAGCGATGAGATCAGTCTCGGAACTGAAGGTGGCGGATGAACGCTGCAAGCCACGGCGACGCTTTCCGTTCCAGAGCATGAAAGACAATGCAAGGCAAGGCAGCAGCGGCCATGACCAAAATTCTCAAGCAGCACAGCGCAGTGTGTCACTCCAAACAGACGGCAAACTTTGCCGAATTTGCAAAAAGCCCGGACATTTTCAAAAAGACTGTGATAAGAGAAACGAGCGGACGGCGCAACAGAAAACGCAAAAAGCGCAGTCCTCAAGTAATTCTCAACGAGAGCAGACGAGCCATGCTTTCAGTACAGTTCTTGAAAATTGGTCTTGTCGTGCCGCAGGGACGGCTCAACGAGAAAACGAGATGTTCGGCAACAAGACTGTGTGCAGTGTGCAACTACTCGGGTTTCAACAAGAAAGCACTAGTGGACACAGGATCAGGTGAGCATTCTGCCGTTAGAGCTACTCATAGACGCAGCAAAGTCGGGGTTTGATTTAGACGCAGACGTCGAAGAGGTTAAATTGGATAACTGCACAAGGATCTACGACGCTTCTGGTCGCAAAATGGCATTTAAAGGTGCTGTCAAACTCACTCTAGCGTTACAAGAAGAACCCGCACGACGAGTAGTGTTCTGTGTAAAAGCAGGCAATGACGATACTATTGTATTAGGGACGAACATTCTGCGCTTGTTTGGGCTACAAGCGTCTTTAAAACCTTTCTCAGAAGGAAAGAAAGTCTCTGTAGCCGTTCAGACGTCGTCTACCCACCCCACGATGCAGAATAAGTTCGTTCAAACTGTATCTCCCAAACCCAAAAGGGGATAGAACGTTAAGCAAACGGACAGTTCTCATAGACCCAAGCCAAGGCCGAAGAACTCCATGTCAGAAGAGGAATCCATGTTGCAAAGGGCTGCTATAGTCTCGAGAGTGTATTTGAAACCTGGTGAAACAAAAGCGGTTTCGATAAACAGATGCTCTTCTGACTCCGAACAAATTTCTGGTCAGAGTGTGAACTGATACCCCATGTTGTTTGCAGAGCAGGGCAAACCGTGAGCATACCCGTGACCAACACATCGGAAAAAGGCCAGAATTTTCCAAGCAGGAGAAAAAGTTGGTTTCTGGGATCAGACGCGGATCGTCGAAAAATCACCAATAGAGTGCGCGAACATGCTCGAACGCACCAGCGCTCCAATTACTGACCGCTGGAACATCTTGGTGAAGTTACTGCAACAGAACAAATCAGAAAGTGACTGGAGTGATTTGCTGGAAAAGAAAGTACAAGATTTTCAAGATGTTTTCGCAGTGACAGACCAAGAGCTTACTCAAACGCACGTAGTAGAACATGACATCCAAACAGGCTCGGCAAAGCCGATAAAGCAGAAGGCTAGGCCTATTCCGCTGGCAGCGCGTGCGGAACTTCGTGAGATCCTGATAGACCTGCAAAAGCGGGACATCATCGAACCTAGTAGCTCTCCATGGTCGTCACCTATAGTACTGGTACGAAAGAAGGATGGTTCGCTACGTTTGTGTGTCGACTATAGAAAGGTGAACCAAGTCACGCAGATAGACAGCCATCCCCTTCCAACGGTCGACACGATCCTACAAACCTGAAAGGAAAGAGTTGGTTTTCAACACTGGACCTTTCTTCTGGCTACTGGCAAATGAAGTTGGCAGACAGTGCCAAGGAAAAGAGTGCGTTTGCTACAACTGAGGGCTTATACCAATTTAAAGTCTTACCTTTCGGACTGGCATCATCGCCAGCAGCTTTTCAGAGGCTAATGCACTTAGTGCTCCATCCGCTACAAGGAGATGAAGTTTCGTGCTATCTGGATGATATTATTGTAGCTACCACTACAGAGGAGCGTCATGTCGAAGTACTTGGGAAAGTGTTCGACAGACTACGAGCAGCAAATCTAAAGCTCAATCCAAAAAAGTGCATACTCATGGAGCCTAAGGTTGAGTTCTTGGGTCATGTTCTCGACAAAATGGGTTGCACGCAGATCCCAAGAAAATTTCTGCCATACAGGAATACCCGACACCGCAGACACGCTCAGAACTGAGAACGTTCCTTAGGTATGTGCTCGTACTACCGAAAGTTTATACTGCGGTTTTCCAAAATCGCGGCACCACTCCATGAGATGACTTCAGAAGGAAAGAAGTTCGAGTGGACCCAGCTACGCATCGACGCTTTTAAAACGCTCAAGGACGCTCTGACATCCACACCCGTTTTGGCGCAACCAGACATCGAAGGTGCGCGTTCAGGAGCAAAACCGTTTTGCATCCATACGGACGCTAGCTACTCAGGTGTAGGGGCAGTTTTAAGTCAGAAGGGAGACGACAACTTTCTACACCCAATATTCTTCGCGTCAAAGGGACTAAACAAGAGCGAGCGTAATTATCACAT